TTAGAGGCACTCGGGTCAGGGCTAGATCATGTCACCAAGGTTGATGCCATCCTAAATTGCTTGCCTCCCTCCTTCAATCAGTTTATCATGAACTACAACATGAATAAGTTAATTGTTATTCTTCAGGAACTTCGCAATATGTTGCAAAGGGCTGAAGAACTGATTAAGAGGGATAAACTGATAGCCATGCTTATTGAAGGTGGCAATTTGGGTAAGAAGAAGAGGAGGGCAAAGAAAAAGCCTCAAAAGAAGACTAGCAAACCGAAAAAGCAGAAGGACAAGACATCAGATGCATGTCACTTTTGCAAATAGACCAGTCACTGGAAGAGGAACTGTCCTCAATATCTGGAGATTAAGAAGCAAGGTAATTTTAAATTTTTTAACATAGAGACCAATTTGTTGGTCACTTCTGCTTCCTGGTGTATTGACTCTGTGGTTTCGACTCATGCGTGTAACTCACAATAGGGGTTCAAGATAAGCAGAAGATTGAGTGACGTATAAGTAACACTCTACTTGGGGACTTCTGCAACAGTTGCAGCTACAGTCATAGGAATTGTAAAAACTAGTTTTCAGAGAAGGAACAATTATACTTAAAGATTGTCTTTTCGTACCTAATTTAAGAAGAAATTTGATATCTATCTCAAAATTGTGTTTGGATGGTTATTCTATCTTATTTAGTAATGTGATTACTATTAAACAAAATAACTAATTCCTCGCACACGGAGAGCTTGAGAATGGTCTCTATGTTCTCTATCATTCTATGAATACCAACATTACCGAAACTACGCCGGAAATAAACCCCAAGAAGAGGACTCGTGATACAGTTAATCCCATGTGCCTATGGCAATACCGACTTGGTCACATTAATATAGATCGTATCACAAGGTTGGTAAAGGATGGTCCTTTAGATTTTTTAACTATAGAAGATCTTCTAACTTGTGAGCCCTGCCTTTAGGGTAAGATGATGAAGCGGCCATTTATGGGAAAGCCTGAAAGATCTACAAGTACACTTGACCTGATACATACTGATGTATGTGGTCCCCTGAATGTTAGGACACGTAACCAACACATTTATTTCATAACATTTACCGATGATTACTCACAGTATGGTTACATGTACCTAGGGAGATAAATTAAGACCCTTCGATCAGATCGAGGTGGAGAGTATTTCTCTGACAAATTCATGGACTACTTAAAGGAAAATAGGATTGTATCACAACTAACTCCTCCTCACAAGCATCTGAAGGAGCTGCATGTAGTATGCACGAGTATGAAACCCACGGGTGTGACTGAAGAACAAATCAAATTGAGAGCCTTTCCATTTTCTCTGAAGGATTTGGCTAAGTGTTAGCTTTATTATCTACCCTGCAGGAGTGTTACCACATGGAACAAAATGAAGAGGCTATTCTTAGAGAAGTACTTCCCAGCTTCATGGGCGGCCAACATCAGAAAGGAAATCTGTAATATAAGGCAGTACAACGGGGAGTCCCTACATGAATATTGGGAACGTTTTGAGAAATTTTGTGCAAGCTGCCCCCATCATCAAATCAGCGAGCAGCTACTGATCCAGTATTTCTATGAGGGTCTTCAACCCATTGATAGGAGCATGATTGATGCTGCTAGTGGAGGAGCTTTAGTAGATAAAACTCCCGATGCCGTGAGAAATCTGATTGCAAATATGGCGGCCAACACTCAACAGTTCGGCTATAGGCTCAACCCTTCATCTAAGCATGCTAATGAGGTAAATATCTCTTCCCTAGAACAACAAATTGCAAGTCTGACTTCTCTTGTTCGTCAAATGGTTGTAGGTAACATGCAAATGGTAAAAGGCTTGTGGGATATGTTCGGTAGTAGGGCATCCAACTGATATGTGCCCAACTCTTCAAGAGTAGCCCGTTGAGCAAGTAAATGCAGCAGGTGGTTTTCCAAGGCAACCGCATAAGAAATCTGATCCCTATTCAAACACGTATAATCCAAGATGGAGGGATCATCCCGATCTCAGCTATGGGAATCAAAAAAACTGCCCAACTTTCTAGCAATATCAGCCGCACTGCCCTAGACAACAGCAAGCCCAAACTTCTAATTCAGGTATATCTTTAGAGGATATTGTCAAATCTCTTGCCACTAACACTTTGCAATTTCAGTAGGAGAGAAGGGCCAGTATCCAACGTTTGGACAATCAGATGGGCCAGATGGTGACCGCAATTAATCGGTTAGAGGCACAAAGTTTGGGGAAATTACCCTCTCAAACAATTGTGAATCCAAGAGAAAATGCAAGTGCAATCGTTTTGAGAAGTGGTAAAGAGGTTGAGACTCTAGCAAGGGCAGCCCTCGCATTGTCGAACCAAGAAAAGGAAAAAGACATCGCTCCCGATGGTGATGAAGTACCTAAGCGTAAGTTTCCGCCTCTTTTTGATTATAAAAGACATCGCTCTCCAGATCTATCCAACGGCTGTGAAGATTCTAAACTAACACGAGTCTAATAAGTGTCCAGTTTAAGGGTATTACACAGAAACACACCACAATGACATGAATCAATTATGTACTTTATTCATTTACAATAAATGTCAAAAAGGTACATCAATCTAATTGGAGCTAAGGGCATATCTGTCTAATAGTATCATAGTCAAGTCTCTTGAGTTAAGTGTTTCTTGCAAACACCCACTAGTTGTGCTTGCGGTCAAACCCTAGTAGCTGAGACAAGCTACTTCACTAATTTGGCAATACACTAGTCTCAGCTTTGTCAGGATAAACTCCCCAAGTCTATCCAATGGTTGAGAAGGCATCAGAAGCAAAGAAAGGCAAATCGGATGATTTTTCATAGTTTCGGCATCGTTTGGTAATTTGGGCCTAACTCGTGTACCCAAACTCCGATTGGGCTGATTCAAGACCCACTGGAAAGATAATAGAAAAAGCCACAACTGTCGTGTTTTGGGATTTCGCAGATTCGGCCAACAATGAAGTCAAATCCGGACCCAAAGTCAGGGAAAATTCACCGGAAGGCCCAATCCGCAGCTGAAGCCCAACTTGTAGAAAAGCCTTGCAGTAGCCCAATTCGCAGAGGAGGTCTAATACGAATCCAAGAACAAGAAACTGGGAAGAGTCCTTCCAGATCTAAATTCTTGATGTAATCTTAGAAAGATAAAGGGATTGAGTTCACTAGATAAAGAGATAAGAGTAGGATTAGACTAGGACTTTCTATTCTTGCAAGATAAACTTCAAGAGGAAGTAGGAGACCACCCCCTCCCCTTTAAGCTATATAAAG